ATTTGATTCTCCATTTCTGGAGTAATAGGAAAACTTTGGAACTAGTCAAAATTGTTAAAAATGTCACATTTAGGTTTAGGTGGCTGGTTAGAATTAGAATCAATAGGTTGGTTAAGCATAGTAATGTTAGAATAGTTATTGGCAAAAGTGTTAATATCAATATCCATAGAATGAGATACAGTTTTAATAGAGGAGGGTTGAGTAGAGGTAAGTGGTGTTAGAGTAAGTCGTCTGACTGATATAAGACATGTCTCTTTAAGATGTCTTGCAAGTTCATTATTGATAAAGAATCGCTTTTAGATATAAACCGCGTAGTCTTCTATTCAAGAACTCTCTTACGGTTGAGCACCTGAACGATACTCTAGTCCGGAAATATAGCCAAGAGAGTGATTCGAAGTATACTAACCTGTGCTTAACCCTAATAGTTCAGTTAACTATTACACTGGTCAAAATTTAGGAATTATATAATAAAAATAAATTACAAATAAAAACTTAATTTTTACCAAATTTTAATAAAACATTACGGTTTCCAGAAATCAAATTTTCTGAGTACCATTTCACCGAAGTCATAGCACTGACATCCCACTTTACTAACAAGACATAATTCCAAAAGTCTCATACGTATTAAAAAGATGAATGTCTATTTTACTGACATGCTATTTATCCGAATGGTACATTTTCTGAAATTCTATTTCTTTGAAAAGATATTACTGTAAGCTCTTTTACTGAAGAATATTTTGAGTTGGCAGATTTATGTAAATTTCTTTTTGAAGAATATCTTTTCGGGGAAATATATTAAAATATTTGTCGGTGAAAAGGCTTCGGAAAATTTTTGTCTGGGAAACAGGAGTTCGGAAAAAGCTTTTGTCGGTGAAAAAGTCAGTCGAATAATATTTTCAAAAATTTAGGTTGTCGGGGAATTAGTTGTGTCGGAAAAAAAAATTCGGTAAAAAATTTCTATCAGTAAAAAAGTCAGTCGAATAATATTTTCAGAAATTCAGGTTGTCAGGGAATTGGTAGTTTCGGAAAAAAAAATTGGTAAAAAATTTCTATCAGTAAAATAATCTGTCAGAGATATGTCTTGTTTGGAAAAAGCAATATCAGAGTTATAGGGTCGGGGAGAATCAACGTAGTACAACATATTTGTATAACGGTAATAATCGGTTATATAATTCCTGAATTTTACTATTACTGCAAATCAATCAACTTTCTCGTATTTAACATATCATACGTACACGCCTTACAACTAATCACATGTCAAATGAAAAAAGCTTTCCGAACATTTACAATAATCCATTTACAGAACTATCAATAAATGGCATTATTTACAATGATAAAGATCAAGTTGGTAATAATTCAAAACAAGCAAATTTATCGTTGCATAATTTCCAGAGTTTTTTAAATAACGTTATCGAAGAATTATGTGATCTATATAATAAAGAAGCTTTGAAAGGAAATTATATCGACTCGATTATTTACTCAATAGATCAGCATATGACAATTAAGCATCAAAAACCAGAAAGAATAATCAACTTATGTTTAAATAACCAAGCCAATCCTATTATTCAAAACAATTCTATTATTCAACACATTTTCGCATTTTGCTATGATTTAGGAATATGGATTGAAAAGGATAATCATAAAGCATTTATTTATTATCAAAAATCTGCAGACTTAGGAAATTCTAATGGAATATGTGATCTCGGCTTTTGTTATGAACTTGGATTTGGAGTTGAAAAAGATGATAATAAAGCGTTCATTTGTTATCAAAAATCAACAGATATGGAAAATTCCTATGGAATTAATTCTCTAGGTGACTGTTATCGAGATGGAATTGGAGTTGAAAAAGATATAAATAAAGCATTTATTTATTATCAAAAATCAGCCGAAATGGGTCATGCAGTAGGAATGAATAGTCTTGGATATTGTTATAAAAACGGAATTGGAGTTGAAAAAAACGAACATAAGTCTTTTATTTATTATCAGAAATCAGCCAATGCAGGTAATGCTAGTGGAATGTACAACCTTGGATATTGTTACGAAAATGGAATTGGAGTTGGGAAAGATAAACATAAAGCATTCATTTGTTATCAAAAATCGGCTAATATTGGTAACTCCGACGGAATGTATAATCTTGGATATTGTTACGTAAAAGGAATCGGAGTTGAAAAGGACGATCATAATGCATTCATTTATTTTCAAAAATCAGCTGACTTGGGTAATGCTAGTGGAATAAACTGGCTTGGATATTGTTACATAAATGGAATTGGAGCAGAAAAAGATGAACATAAAGCATTACTATGTTTTCAAAAATCAGCTGATTTAGATAATGCTAACGGAATAGATTGGCTTGGATATTGTTACAAAAATGGAATTGGAGTTGAAACTGATAAACATAAAGCGTTCATTTATTTTCAAAAATCTGCAGATATGGATAATGCTAGCGGAATTAACAATCTTGGAGATTGTTATCTTAACGGAATTGGAGTTGTAAAGGATGAACATAAGGCGTGCATTTATTATCTAAAATCAGTAAATATGGGCAATATTGAAAGAATAGACAAACTTGGTTATTGTTATCTTCATGGAATTGGAGTCGAAAGGGATGAATATAAAGCATATATTTATTACCAAAAACGTGCTAATAAAGCGCTAGCGAAATAAGCAGTCTTGGATTCAAAATCTGTTAATGAACTTTTTTAAAATATTGATATAGAAATAGAATTAAAACCACAAATGACTCAAGGAGACTAGCTTTTGATGTCAACAGTAATGTGTACGCTAAATAGTAATATTAGAAATTATCAAATAGTATATTTTATTTCTTGATTTTTATTTAACTTTAATAAAATGAAAAAGCCGTATAAAATAATGATTGCTTATTTTTTTTAGGATGACCTAAATTTTAATACAGTATTTAAAATTTACTACGTTCATTAAATACAGCATTCAAATAATTCATTTACAAAGCTTCCACTGTGGTTTACATAGTAGTAACATTTCCAGAATATTTTTGCATGTATTGCAGTTCAAGAACTTTCTATACCATTTATAAGTTTGGTCAAAAGTCCTGAAAACATAAGCCTATCAAATAAAATCCTGAGTTTCAATATCTTAATAACCATAAATGTGTATAGCAGCACTAAAGACAGGATTTGTTGAAATTTATAACGTTTTACGATACAACATCATCAGGCCTTCATACATTTGGTGTAATTATGTTGGAAACTTATTGGGCAAAAAAATTCCAAATCAATATTTGTTTAAGACCAAAAAGTTTATAAAATGAAACACATTATAAAAATTTAATGAAAGATCTTAGGGGAATCGAAAAGCATAGGTGCGCTTGGTCATGTGGTTGGAAGAATTCCGGACAGCCAAAGGTGCCGGAAATGAATTCAATTAAAGGACTTTAAGTCCACAGAATACATTGAATTTGTAATTTTAAGTAATTAGTAATTTTAAGTAATTTGAACTGAAACGATGATATGCTCCCGGAAGATTAGCAAGTGAGATTGCGCCAGGTATCATCGTAACAGTAGAGCGAGTGAGAAGCAGCATCAGCCGGTGGTTTCCCGCCTGCTCGAAGCAGGCCGGCTGTTAAATAGGAAAATGGCAGAATCAGGAGACTATTCCAATGATTGGGTGTTGAGATTCTGCCATTTTCTACTGTGACTGTTGTGACTGGTGTTTCCGTCGAAACTGCACGTGGCACTAGTTGTAGAACGTGTATTACGATAGACTTGTCTAGATAAATGTAGTGTATGCGGTGCTCCCGTTTCATTTCTTTGCCGGGGTGGCTATTTCAGAATTCAGAATTCGATACTGCATTGTTGTTTCATTAAACTGATTCAGCTTTGACTGAGTACACTTTTTTTTTTTTTTTTTTTTTTTTTTTTTGTCTATATGTGAATTTGTGTGTATGCATTCTGTCATTTATTACTTTAAAATTGCGGTTGGGGCGTCCGAGGCTCCATTGGTAAGATTATGAGGGCGGCTCAATTGCAATATGCTTTTATTAAAATCGCGGCTATTGTGGCTGGGTGAGTCCGGATGTACCTGTAGAATGACTCCGAACTCCACCTGCCAATTTTCTGAATCAATATGAGCTGGATTCCGCGCATAACCAGCTCAGTTATACCCCCGGCCCGGAAGCTGTGGCCTGCCACGTCTTCCGCTGGTAAGAGTCGTTTGAGCTTGTCGATGAAATGCCGTTCTGCCACCCATGATCCATCGACCCTGGTAAACAGCAATTTGCTTTTGTTTGATACTGTGGGGTCCGTTCTTTGAACAATATAGGTCTTTAATGCATTTATTGGGCACAGGTCGTCGTAAGTCGGGTTGATGGTAAGGGACGCACGTATAGCCGTTTTATGATTTTTGGTGCATGCAAGTTGAATAGTAGCATATGTGTGATGTCCAACCTTCTCAAACCTTAAAGCATCAAGGCTTGGTGTCTTGTCAATGTCTTGGCGTGTTGTAGGAAGGAGCTCGCCTAGGCGAGCCAGGCCATAAAAGGCTGTAAGGGCTGTAGCCCAGAACAATATGTCGTCCGGGTTGTTGAGGTTAAGGTTAGCCTTTAGGGTTTGTAAGTGGTGTCTTGTAATATGCGATTTTTGCTTGACGGGCTTGTGAACGTGGTTTTGGTCAATAGTTTTTAACAACTGAATAATCAGAGGGTCATTGCGTGTTTCGTTCCAGTCAAAGTGATTTATCTTGTGATGGTATTTCAAGGCTGATAAATAAGACAGAAGAGTCGGGGAGCAACCCTGTTGTACATGTAAGTAATAAACTCTATGAGGTGCACCCAAGAAATAGGCCAGATATTGCCTTGTGAGTTGGTCTATTGATTGTTGATGTTTCGTACTGCTTTATGGCCGATTTGTATGTTTTGTTTGTTTTTTCAACTAGGCCTAAAATTAATGCCACCTGTTGGTTGAGCGGAAGAGTGGAGGCTGAGGTTTGTTTGCCTGCGGTGTTGTGTGTGATGGTAGGGCTATCTATTGAACCAAAGATGGAATTGTAGAAATTAGATTAGAATATTTTAAGGGGAAAACTGGTTGTAAGTATCGAGCTGTAGGATTAAACTTTAAAAACTCTCCATTTCGTGAGAGTAAGTCTGCATTTGAATTTGCTTTGCCAAGGATGTATTCAAATTTGATTAAGAAGTTTTCTTGTATCTGGGCTTGGTAAATCTGTGCGATAATGTCATTAATTTCTATTTGTCTGCAGTAGCCATTATATAATGCTTCCGCATTGGCTTGATTATCTGTCCAGATAATAAAGCGCTTTTGTGTCCATATGGGTAAAAATGTTAATATATTAATAAGCGTAGCTAGAAGCTCTCGCTCTTGAATACTATGCCGAGATAAGTCTAGATCACGAGCCCAGTTAAAGGTTGTAAAGTAGAATTGGAATATTGCACTACCACCAAGGTTGGAGACATTGGTGAACAAATTCTGTGTGTCCGGACTTAACCAGGCCTGGTCTTCCATGAGGTATATACATGCCCAATTGGGCAGTATTGAAGTCCACTATTTAATATCTGACCTCATAGGGCCATTAATTCTTATGTGATATTTTGGACCTTGTGCTGTATTTAGGGCTTTGATAAAGCATTGTATAAAGGGTCGGCCCTGTGGGATCACCTGGCATGTCCACATCAATGAGCCGATCAGAGATTGAAGCTCTTTTCTAAAACATGATTTTTTGTTTGTCTATTGTTCTAGCAGATTAATTATCTTTGATTTTTTGGCCATAGGGACTGTGGCTGAGAACGTCTACATGTCCAACTGAATACCAAGAAAAGTGATAGAAGTACAAGGCCCTTCTAACTTAGATGGTTTGTTTGAAATGTTGAGGATCCAAAGAAACTGGTCTAGCTCTCATTGCCCATTTGTTTTTGATATAATAAGAAAATCATCCACATAGTGGATGATTGACTGTATGCCCTGTTGTATCGCAATCCAGGTTAACATATCCGCAAACCTGCAGAATATTCCGCTGGACGCTCGATTACCGAATGCCAAGGCCTTATCAAAGTATAGCTGATTGTCATAGCTTATGCCCTGCAAAACCTGGTCAACAGGATATACTGGAAGGATCCTATATACATCCTTTATGTCGATTTTTGACAGGAAACACCCTTTGCCGTAGTGAGTGATCTATCGAATTGTGTGGCTAATGTTTTCATACTGCATGCTGAACTCAATTCTATCAATTCTATGTGAAATTATCTGATACACCTTTGGGTTCATTTCTTTTTTCTCAACTAGCCCGCAGGAATCTACCTGAAAGAGTTTACAAGGCGGGTTGTGCAGAGAGAATGGGCCACATATTCGATTGTGGACTATTTCATTCTGTACATATTTCGAAAATGACTGGGGGTCAATATCTATTGAGCTTAAGTTCTTTTGGATTATTGTTGTTCTTTGTTCCGTGAAATTGAATCTAAAACCACCCTGAAGACCATCAAGCAAGTATAATACAAAAGGCTGATTGGGGTAAATTGCTATGAGATGCTTGAATGCTTTTGCATTAATTGGCGTAGAGACATTAAAGAGCCTAGGATCAAGCTGCCCAAGGATTTCGTATTCAACCGAAGTCAGAGGAATGTTATGCGGTGGAGTTGTAGTTAATGTATTATCCACTGATTGGAGGCTATAAGCTGCCTGTGTTGTAATGCCATGCACAAGTTTGAATTGTGAAGGATATTTAATATGCAGCTCTTTTTTTTTTTTTTTTTTTTTGTTTTTGTCTCTTTTTTTTTTTATATATATATTGCATGTGTTTAAGGAGCCAAAGCTGTGCTCTATTTCGTATACTACGTACTGTGTGTCTTCAATTGCTATGCTATGTTACGTGCTATATTTAACCCATTAGAGCTATTGTTTATTTAATGTTGATATATTATGCAACTGGTGTGCTACTAGCATCTATGTTATAAAGTATTGCCTTCCCTCTTTTTTTTTTTTTTTTTTTTATGTATAGATAGCGTAAGTGAAACTTATTGCTATGTGTTTTTCTTTGTCGCTTTGTTTTCAGAAAGGTAGTACTTTTTAGGGGTCCATGTCACTTGCCTGGCAACAATTTCCCCAACATTCATTTCCCCGACAATATTTTTCCGACATACCCCTTCCCCGATAACCACTTCCCCAACAACCACTTCCCCAGTACACCCTTTTCCCCGACATATCTTTTTCCCCGACAACCATTTCCCCGACATTCTCTTTCCAGACATATCTTTTTCCAGACATATCTTTTTTCCCGACAACCACTTCTCCGACATCCCCTTCTCAGACATATCTTTTTTCCTGACATATCTTTTTCCCCGACATATTCTTCCCTTTTTCCCTGACATACCCTTTTTCCCGACATTCCCTTTTCCCCAACATTCCTTTTCCCCTGACATTCCCTTTCCCCAACATTCCTTTTCCCTGACATACCTTTTTCTCTGACTTATCCTTTTCTCTGACATTCCCCTTTCCATAACCCACCCTTTTCACAGTTCTATGTCAATATCCTGAAGATCAAAATCCTGAAGATACTAAATCCTTAGGTCTTGATCCACTGATAATTCTTGATACAAGATTATCAAACAGAATTATGTCAAGTGCCCTTTGTCCGGTCGAAATCTCTGTCACAATAACTCCAAGACTGTAAATATTTGATGCTTCAGTATACTGTTGACTCATTAAAATCTCTGGTGCTATATACGACAGAACTCCACAAAATTTTCCTTCTTTTACTTTTTTACAAAATCCAAGATCAGTGATATTTTCATCATGTAAATTATTTTTATACAAAATATTTCCACTGTGTAAGTCTCTGTGAATGGGTTTATGAGAATGAATTGACTCGAGATCCAAAGCTTTACAATACAGGAGATTCGATTTATCTTTCCATTCTAATTGTGATACTTCTACAAGATTTTGCCATAATGAATCTCTTGGCATAATATCCATGGCACAATAATATAATCACCATAATTATTTCTTGACACTCCCAAACAATTCAAGAATAAAGGAATTTTGTAACCAATTTCAAGTAATTCTTCAATTCTTGGATAAATTCTTGGTCATTTTTGGTTGAATCATGAATCACTTTAAGTGCAATATCTCTCCATATATTATCGAATCGACGTGCAGAATATACAGTTGTGAATCCTCCTTTTCATTCTTCTCTGTATCGCTGAATTCATTATGATCAATTCAAGATAATTTAAATCGCTCATCATCTAATATTCTCTTAAGTTTATACCATTTCGATAACATAGAGCAACATTTCTCAGTGCTCCATTAATCCCATTTTAGCAACTTTTTGATAGTATTCAAATGCTTTATTATAATCTTGATCAATTCCAACTCCATAATAATAGCTAAAGCCAACACTGCTCATTCCTATAGCATTGCCCAAATCAGCAGACGATTACAATATACAAATGATTTCTGGTAATCCTTTTCTACTCCAAATCCATAATAATAACAAGTACTAACATTATTCATCACTACCGGATTTCCTAACTAAACTGCTTTCATATAATATTCAAAAGCCTTATTTTCATCTTTCATAACACCAATACCATGATTATGACTTTAACCAAATGTACGAAGTTGTTTGTAGTCGATTTTTTTCAAAGAATGAAAAAAATCATGCACCAAATAATATACAAACTTTATTTGCCGAAGCATGGTAAAAAATAAAAAACTTGATGTGTCGAATGGCACTATTTAAATGCTATTCGATATGCCATTCAATACACTATTTAACTCTATCACATGACTTCACGAATATTCATGTCCCTGAAAAATATATAACAAGTTGAATGGTGCATTGAATGGCATGACGAATAGTATTCAAATAGTGCCATTCGACATGTCAAATTTTTTATTTTTACCAGTGGTGCCAACATATAGTTTGTAAAAGAAAATTTTGCCAAACTAAAGCTACTATCCTACTAACCCTAGCATGAAAAAAGAACAATACCAGTGATTACTCTAACCCTAACCATCAAAGAGGGTTACCAAGCTTACTAAAAACGAATAACAAAATTCATTATTCTTACCAAAAAAAGGATTTTTCAAAATAGGCGTAGGCCACATCCAAAAAATTGAACGGAACCACTCTCTCATTTCATGTTACACGTTCATGTGATCATACTGGTATGTTTTTATTTCCTTTTTTGCATAATTGCCTCGGGACGCCAATTACGTTCTTTCATTGTACAGTATTACTAATATTTAATGTCATGTAAAACGACATTAATATCCAGATAAAATTTTTTAATTAACCTTATTCTAGTTTAAATAAAATACTTATCAAGAATTCTTCAGTCTATAATCCATAAGGGTACATGGTTGTCGGTAGAAAATTAAATATTTAATGCTGGATATATGTGCTTACTGATAAAGGACCAATAAAATTAAAAGATGAATGAATATCTTTTTTACTCAAGTACGACCTTTTCATAATTAATTATGATATTTATTTATCTATCAATTGATATTAGGCATACTTATTTGTCTTCTTCATCAGGAAGTTTTGAAGGTATTATTTTATGCTATTATATGCATTATTTAACACTAAAAGTTAAATAATGCGATTAATTAATGTTAAACAATGCTATATATTCTATTATTTAACACTTACTATTAAATAACTTATAATGCTATATTAAACAACAACAAGCATTCAATTATTTAATGATTGCTATTAAATAACATGTAAATGCCATATTAATATGCCATTTTATATTAATGTTTTTTATTTATTTTTATTTATTTTTTTTTAACAACACTGCCTCTTTATTACTCATTATAGTGGAATGTACATGAATGTACATTATTTTTACAAGATTTTCAGTACATCATTGGTTACAAATTCCTAACTAGTACCTGTTATGCTGCCATCACCGAGTTCATATCTTAAGCTACCTTTTAAGATACTGCCAAAACCCGATCTGTATTTCAAGCCACAACCTTTCTAATTAGTCATCCCCTACCACAGATATCCCAGGTCCCTCCCCCTGCGGTGTTTCAGTTCCCAAACTTCTAGAACCACCTTAAGTGAGACATACCAAACCTTACGGCCCAGTATAGTTGTATTAATCCCATTTACCTTACCATTGGTCCTCACATCCCATGAAGTTTGCTTACCCTGACTCCGGGTGCCTCTGATAGCGAGATATTTCCATTTTGCTAGATATCACATATTCCACATATGTGTTCTTTATCTAGACTTTGGTAACCTACGCCATGGCTCTACCCATGTACTTGGGGTTAGGGCTAACCATTGAACCCCTGTGATTACCTACTTCTGCCCTTATTAGGTTCCCAACAACTCTGATATCCGCATTTGGACTGTCTTCTTACCCGTATTCTTTATTAGTCTCTCCTTTACTTTCAGCTAGCAACCCGGAAGGGTCAGTCTGCCCAGGCTTTAGGTACCTGAAAGATGCTCTACCCTTGGTACATACTTTTGGAGTGTATGTCCTTTTCCTCCGGTGCGACAGAACCTGGTGGTTTGGCTGGTGTGTTCTCCGCCATTAGGACCTGGTCGTTCGGTTCTCCGATCTCGAGCCCTGGTTCAAATTCAGCCCTCTTGTGATACTATCAAAGATCATTGTTACTCCTAACTTGGGACTTCCCAAATGAGTTTTCAGTTATGCTAGTTCCTCGGATTTATTGTGTCATTGCTCCCATTACTAGATGGTGTGACCGAAGTTATAGATTAAATCCAACTGATATATATTAGCCATTAACCAAACACAAGTCTATTTTTCAAATATCGTCATCTGTGGGATTCGAACTCTAGACCTGCCACTTGGAGAGGATGACGACTAGACCACTACACTAAGTTGCCACACCTCATTGAGGCATTTTTATTTTATTATTATTATTATTATTATTTTTATTATTATTATTTTTATTATTATTATTGTTATTATTATTATTATTATTATTATTATTATTATTGTTGTTGTTGTTGTTGTTGTTAATATTGTTAACGAAGGAAAAAAAAAAGAAAATTTCTTAAAGACAGGAAATTATGTTATGCACGTCTTATTAATTACAATGGACAAAACATGCTTAAAACCTGATTGGTTAGGAATGACGAAACAATTAATTATTAGTCCTTAATATTTTATTAGTATTGTTGTTCAAAGCAAATGAAAGAGGCAAATTTTTAAAACCAATATTTCGATAGTAGTAAATTTAGTTAACTTTATTATTAATTTTATTAGATTTAGATATTAGAAATTTTAGTTTTGAAAATTTATTAGACTTAGATATTTGATCATTAAAGTTTAAAATTTTTATTAACAAAATTTAGAAAATTTTATACAACTTAGAAATTAAACACTGAAAAATTTATTGAGAAAAAAGAAAGTAAAATAATATACAGAACAAAGAAGAATAAAAACAACCACCAACTCAAACAAACTAAAACCCTAACTACTCTTCAACATACTCTACAATGCCAAAATCTCTGCTTCTAAATCATCAATCTCCATCTCCAAATCCTGCACCTGAACTATCAACTAATTTCTTTAAGAAAATTCTGCCGCACCAGCTCAGTCGGATCATATTCTTGAAGCCACACTTGCAAGTTAGCAACTTGGTTTCGTAATCTTCAGACTATTTCGGATACCGACTAGCTTCAAGGTGTTCTAGACATCTAAAAGTTAACCAAAAAGTTATTAGAAAAAGAATACTTTTTCTATGTACATGTACTAAAAAAAAACGAGATTATAGAAAAAAAAAAAAAAAAAAGGAAGTAATAAAGGGAAAATGTCTACTGGGGCCAAACAATCAATCATGCAAGTCATGAAGAAATCAATCGTCCAAGCACAAAGGAATGTCAGCTCACCCAGACATGGACGACCGGCATTTATCCCCACAAGTATAAGACTCACGAAGTTAAGCACACGGCCCGAAAGTATACACACCTTCAATAAAGGAAAAACAGGAAGACAAGCAAGGCAAGAGAAATTTTTAACAGAACTAAAACTAGAGAAAAGAAAAAGTGATGAGTATTAGACAAGAAAAGTTTTTACACAAAGGAATAATAGAAAAGAATTGTACCAAAGGAAGATTTGTGTATAGAAAATTTTTGAAAAACAAATACAGGAAAAACAAGATTATAAATAGAATTAGAAACAATTGATAAGTTTTCCCATGCCAAGGAAAATTATCATGTGATGTCAACAAAGAAAATTACAAACAATAATGATGTGATTACAAGTTTAGAAGAAAATAAACAATTTAGAAATATTTAAATCTAATTTTAGTACAAAATCTAGAATAAGTTCGGAGTCCTCACAAATTTTAAAAGAGGAAAAGACAAAGAAGCATCAAAACACATGTCTGGCTAAAATTTTTGCCAAAGTTTTGCCAAGCATTGCAAAGCAGGATTTTTGTACATAGTTGGTACAAATAGAAAACATGTGAAACTTCACCAGATTTGTAAATAGCTACAATACCCAGAACC